TGCTCAAGCCTGTAAACAGATGTGCAGACGAGTTCCAGTGGTAGGCATTATGTTACTTGTATTTCTTCATAGAATTTTCCCCAAGGCCAGCACGGCATGCCAGGCCTACAAACCCAGGAACCCTGGCGCATCCCCATCCGGTTCATCCTCTGGCTCACTCTGAGGAAACTCAATCCCCATGCCATCATAATAAGTCCCCCTATCCTCCTCCACCTCGCCGCCCATGATCCATTCATCCCCGATAAACGTCCTCTTCAAGTCGTCATGCAGCGCATACACCTCCTTGGACTGATTCACGTAATCCTTGTCGGCAAAGGTTCCCGGCTGTAGATTCCGCCCATGTCGCCGGTAATACCGCCTGATGCGGACCTGGCGAACTTTGGCAGCGATCCGCCGCTCGTCATCTAGCCGGGCCACGACGGCACGCGACATCATGATACGGTTCATGCGCCCGTCGTTGATGGAGCGGATAATCTCCTTCCAGTTCCGCCGTCGTGGCGGGTGCCGGTCGCCCCATTTCCGATACTCTTCCTCGGCGAAGAGGGCAGTCATGGCCGGTCGCCACTCGAAAGACGCGCGGAAGCGGCGGCAATCAATCTCGAGACCCGGCAGCTCCGTGTCATTCGCGATGCGGCGCATGACGAAGACGTAGGGCGGGACATCGCGACGGTTCGCCGGCGGTGGCGCCAGGTATGCAGTCGCCCTCGCCATCCACTGCCTGACACACTCGTCATGAACAGTCAGAGAGTCGTCCGCTAGGAGCCTCGCCGCGCCGTGTTCCCCCGCCATCGCCTTGTCCGTGTATATAGCTCTTGAACCGTCCTCGGAGAAGCAGTCAAAGTCGAGGGCAAAGTCCAGATTCTGGGGTTCGCGGTGCTCGTCTATGACGGGGTCGAAGGCGAGGAACTCGAGACGGCTGCGGGGGATGTGTTCGGCGGCGAAGACGGTCTCGGTGGCGTGCTTGAAAAAGCGAGAGACGCGGCGGAAGTTGAGCCACACGCGGGGAAGGTATCGAGAGTCGGTTATGCTGGAGATGATAAGGTACCAGAGCTCCGGCGGGAGGAAGGGTAGTTCGCGTTGGGGCTCGCGCTCGCGGTGAGGTTCGCGGGTCGCGACGACGGTGATCTTGGGTTCGGCGAGAACCGTCGTTGTCGTCATTGTGGTCGTCATCTTCGGTTTGGGTGGACGATCTTTGTCGGAAACGAAAGCGTCAAGGGACCTGGAGACCGCGGCGGCAGAGAAGAGCGGCCTGCTGTCGGAGGTGAGTGGCTGAGGGCATCACCGGCCGGCCAGGATCGGGTACTGGATGTTGTTGTGTGTTGGTTGCAAAGGGCGGGTGTCGATCACCTGCAGGACGCAAAAGGGCGAGCGGGACAATATTGGACGGGAGGCGTCGTCACTCGGACGGCCGTCATTCGTCTGTTGGGGGGACCAGCGCCCCGTCCTCGTCCAGAGTGTCCGCTTCCGGTGTATGGTTTCCAGGGTGGTTAGGTCATGTCGTCCCTGATTTCTCATGCCATTGACGATGGATCTCGTCTACGCGGCTCACCGATACGAGTGGCACAGGACGGCTCGTTGGCACTATGGACGGGAGGAAGTGCATGGTGGATGGAGAGGAGAAGATTGGAGATTGCGACAAGTGCCGGGCGCGCCCTATCCGAGCCTTGGAACGGGCCCGAACTGCCCCATTGTCAGTGCTACATCGACCCTGGAAGTTAGCTGCATCCCGGCGGACCCTCCTCCGCTCCAGGGCCTCCATCTCACCTGTCAGTGACCACCAGGGGCACCGCCGGACGCCTCAACCATTTCCCCCTCGTGTCTGTCAAGTTTGTCACGAGTCATTTTTTCATGCTCCCCACCTTCCATTGCTGTTCCTTCTGTTGTAAGACTGCAACCCCAAAGTCCCCTGTGGCCGGATGGGCATTCCGGAAGAAGCATGGTCTTCCGGCTTTCCAATAGTTGCCCCTCAAGCCCCTCTATCAGGGCAGTGCAGTTGGGTCCCCTTGTTTCCTCAATTCAGGTTTATTCCAAGGCCAGTCCCCTATATCGTGGTACAGGTTATTTCCCCGATGGCCAACAATTTCTCTTCAGCGTAACATTAAAATCTGACTGCTTGCCGATCAGGAACGGGGCCTTCGTGTTCGACATTCCATCTCACGCCAGGCCTCGTCACCCTCGTCACCGCCCTCTCGTAGCCCTCGCTTCGGAGGCCGTGGGGGACCGAAGGAAACGAAAAGGGTGCCGTCCCTCATACGACTCCCTGCCCATATAGCCCACGCATATGCCTTGGACCCTCCCCTCACCGAAGTCGCACATGAACTGGCATCTCGTCCTTGACATGAGGCGGCCCGTCCCTACCCACCTGGTAGCAACGATCTCCCCAAATCATTGGCGGCTTCTTGCTCGTATCCCTAGGTATTCAAGTCAGCGACGGCCTCTAAATCAGCTGGTAAGACGGCGACATACCTCTTCTTCAGGGCATCCCACTCGTCCCAGGCACATTCAACGTCAAACCTCCGCGCGACCAACACGATGAGCAGCTTGACCTCGACCATGGCGAGATGCTGGCCGAGGCACATGCGAGGACCGCTCGCGAAGAAGCGCCATGCATTCTTCGGCGTGTACAGCGGGTCAGCCTCGTCAGTGACGAGCCACCTCTCGGGCAGAAACTCGTTCGCGCGGTGCCATATCTCCGGGTCGCGATGGGCGGCAAAGGTGCCGTCCCAGATGACAAAGTCTTCCGTTGGGAAGGCTACGCCCTTGTACTCCCCAGAGCCATGGAGGAAAAAGCCCGGCTCGCCGCGGCGCATGGATCCGACGTTGGTATGAATGCGCGATTGCTCCTTGAAGATAGCCGTGGTGTAGGGCAGACTGTTGAGAAGGTTCGGGTTCTGGCGAAGACGATCGGCTGCTTCCAGAGGATCAGGTCCCAGGACCTCGTCGTGCTCCTTTCGCAGGCGCTCGAGGATGGCCGGGTACTGCGCGAGCACACGAAGGTACCAGCACATGGTCGCGGCAGTGGTATCGTGGCCAGCAAAGATGAACGAGTTGAGCTGCCCGATGGCCATTTCCGTCATTTCCTTATCGAGCACGAGGGGCCCAGAGGTTTGCGGTCCGCCCTTCGCCATCTTCTCCGCTCTTTCCTCCTCGAGACTGGCGACGATTAGATCGATGAATGACTTGGACGCTTCACCGCCATTCGCCCGGGCTACTGTCTCGTGAATGAGCGGGCTCAGTTCGTTCGTTACGGACCGATAGCTCTGCCAGAGCTTGAACCTTCGCCAGGGGCTGTAAAAGTCGAGGAAGTTGGCGACGTTGACGAAGAAGTACATCCGTTTCATGATGTCGATTATGGCCGTCGACGCCTCGGTCCTCTTCTTCTGCTCATGGAAGCGCTTGTTGCTGGAAAGACGTCAGTAAGTGCAACCTTCCCAGGGTCAGAAAGACTGACAAGAAGAAGCGGAAGATGACATCCAGAGCTAGACCGGTGGTTATTTCGCCGAGCTGGAAGACGTTTCCCCAGCTGCCATCAACGCCAGCCTTGCTTTCGAGGATCTTCACAAAGTCCTCCGTTTCCTCGATGATATCCGGGATTCGAGCGGTGATGTACTGGTTGCTGAAGCCAGGGTTGAGCCGCTTCTTCCAAAGTTTGAACTCAGCGCCCTCCATCGAGGGTACATCTCGATTCTTCGTCAGTGGGTAGAGGATCTCCTTTTGCTGGCGCGCTTTCAATAGGGAGCGTTCCGTTGTGAACTGCAACGACAGGGCTGTATTGATGCAGATGACCAGTCTCGGCGTCATCGGCCATCCGTCGAGGTAGATGACCGGCGGACATGACTTGCACTGGGGGAAGAACCTCTTCCAGTGCTCTTGGATCATCATCATCATGTAGTCAGAGTGAGCGTCGGATGGGAGCATCTCCATGACCTCGCCCATGACGGGGAGGTGGCCCCAGATCCACGAGTGCTTCATGATCGGCTGCGCCTAGGGTCAGCAGTGCTCAAGTGGTAAGTCCGGCGCTACTCACGATGCCCTTCTTCTCCATGTCCTTGTACGTCTTTCGGATACGGTAGCCGTTGACGATAGCGGCAGCGATAAGGACGAGGAGAAGCCACCCAGCCGCACGGAGGAGATCCGTCCCGGCTGGTACTGAGAAGGCCCCAAGCAGCGCCATGTTGACGAACCGGGGCAGCGGACACCATGTAGTGGCAAGAGGATTTGCTGGACGGTAGGATCGCGAGGCGAAAAGTCAAGTCGTGATCTGGCTGTACTTCTCCTCCTCCTCATTTTAGCGGTGATGCCAGCCGCTACTAAATTCGGCCCACTCACTCCTTGCGCTTGTGATTGTGCCTAACGCAGCTGGTGTATTTTCTGCGCAGCATCCCTGCCATCCAGACGATGGGACGCTGACCGAAGGATTCGGCTGCATCGGACTGGAATCCTTCTTCGATGTATCAATGCTTCAGTTCGCGATGGCTATTGCAGTCAATATCAATAGGCGTCTCAATTCTAGGATTGAATGTCATCTCGAGGGCCCCATGCCTAAGCAGAGCATGTATGTTGAACGTTGATCGCAGTCATACCCTGCCCAGCCATCTTGTGGTGTTCTTGCGATCGCGATGGGTGCTTAGTGCTTATAGGCCTCCACACCACCGTGAGAGACCCCTGATTCGGATGGCTGGGACGTCGCACAGCATCAGGAACCAGAAACCAAAGCAGAAGGACATCTATTTTCTTCGAGGCGGGCTCGCGCAGCCCTCGATATTGCTACTACAGCCGGAGGAAATACGTGTCAAGAAGATAGGTCGACATATCTGAGGAATCGACCACAACAGTTCATGGGCCACTACAGTCAACCAGCTAACAGTAGACACGAAGGCGAACAGGATACTGAGGGCATCATGGCCAAAGCAAGTGACTAAAATGAAGCAAGAGAGAAGACTTCGTGATACGCCAATCAAAAGGGGGATGGGTGTGATGGGAGCAAAAGTAAAAGACAATGATCCAAGGGAGGCTCGATCTCCCGACCTTCAGTGAACCATTCAGAGAATGTTAGACTGACGTGATAACCAACTACACCATCGGACCGTTGTTAAATGACACTTCACTATACGCCACTATGTTGGAAACGGCCTTCCAATTTCGTCGTTTCTAGAGCGATTGATCGCGACTGCCATGTGTTCGAGCTTGTAAGATTGTCCAGGTAAGTTCTCGCTGCTCATCAAGGTGCCGCGAAACCCCGCTTCCTATTCTACAGACGGCGTTGTAGCGAGAAGAAAATTCGATACTTTGACATCGGACTCGCTAAGTGGGGCCTCGCATTCTTGTTGACAACAGGGCGCGCCCGAAGTCCGAGGTGCCAGATCGGTCGTTCGGGAACGTTCTAGCCCGGCGAGACGAGATTGCCTAGCCTGCGGTGTTCTGCAAGGTACAAAGTCGCAGTAAACGCTGCCAAGGAGGCTGTGAGTGAGGATCATCACTTTCATACATCTCTACACCTCAGTGGACGATACAGCTCAGCGAACGAGTGAACCTCATTGGAATCAAGACCATTTCCTACCCTCACAATGGCAGTCACAGATACATCACCTGCCTCCAAGCCGCAGATCCAGATCCGCAAGGCGACTGAAGCCGACATACCCGCCATCGTCAAGCTCGGCAGGCGCGTTTTCACCAAATCCTTCGGCCACTCCGTCCAGCCCCACGAGCTCCAGGAATACCTCGACAGCGCCTACACGATCCCTGCCATCACCAAAGACATTGAGGATGCAGACCGGGACACAATAGTGGCCATGACAGAAGATGGTCGTCTCGGTGGCTTCGCCATGCTGGCGCGCAACACCACGGAACCGTGCGTCGAGGGCGTCGAAAAAACGGTGGAACTGCAACGCATCTACGTCGACAACGCCATGCACGGTTGTGGCGTGGGCGGAAAGCTGTCGCGGACTATTGACTCCATGGCGCGGGAGCAAGGGTTTGCCAACATCTGGCTGGGCGTGTGGGAAGAGAACCAGGTCGCGCAGAAGGCGTACAAGAATTGGGGCTACGCAAAGGTTGGCACGCATGACTTTGCTCTTGGGTCGGTGATTCAGACGGACGACATTCTGCTCAAGAAGCTGTAGGACAGCCGGGCTGGAGACTTGTTTTTTTTACATCAGGCGTTGGAAGAGACCATAGAAAGGACGGTTCCTTGGGAATAAGAACATGATTCGATTTGCGCAACTTGAATCCAGATGTCTGCTGCAACATAGACCTTACAGAACGACGGCATACGGGCTCAAATGACTGAACATGGTCCGCCAGGACATGGCATCCGGATTGCCGCGCCAGACATCACGTAAAGCGACGCCAATGGCGCGGACAGAACCAAAGCGCATGTCGTCAAAGATGCTCCCGACCATGTCCACGACGGCCTCTCTGCGCTTCGGGGACTGGGCGTGGGCACCTGCAACATACAGGGGCATGATAACACAGTGGTAGATGTTGGAAGAGCGCGGGACCTCGAACAAGCCGTCCAGACAAGACTCGACATGCTGCTGAACCAGGGGGTGGTAGGCCGACAGGCCGCAGATGACGCGGTACATATAGATAAGGGCCGTCTGCTGGAAGGCGCGGACAAGCTTGAAGGCCTCAACGGCCTCGATGTCGCCTGGACTGGGTGTGCTCGGGGAGGCAGTGGACAGTGGGCTGCTCCCAGCGTCGCTACCGGTGCCGCTGAGATCTTCAGCGGTGAGAGGGGCGTAGATGGGCTGGAGGCGGAGCTCAAAGTCGCGGACCCGATCCACGGCGAGAATCTCGGCGCCGGAGCGGAGCTCATCGTGGTAGATGGCCAGGGCGGCCATGTCTTCGAAGACACCAGCCAGAGAGCAACGGCCCAGAGGGTCGCGGCCCCACCAGACGGATGACTTGTCGATAACGGGCCACATGTCTGGCGCAAAGGCCGGGGCCCGCTCTTGCAACAAGGCGGTGGTGAGGTCGGCCGAGGCAAACTCGGACAGCAGCATGTCCAGGGACTCCTGGCCGCGGCCAATGACAGCGGGTAGGCCCCCAAGCTGGGCGAGGATGGCGAGAACGCCGTGCGAGTGCTTGAGGGTGGCGGAGCTTGCAGACCCCTCGACGAATCCGTCGTGCAGGTAGAGCAGGAGAACGGCAAAGAGAAGGGTTGGCAGCATGTCACTGCGTCGGTTGCAGACGCCGTCGACCTGGGCGCGCAGGACCTGAAGACACTCTGACCGGGCAGGGGTGATGAGCTCTTCGCCACGGCCATCCTGGAGATATCGATGCGACGCGGCGAAGACGCACATGGACAGCATGACGACGCGGTGCTGCATGGCGAAAGGGGTCGGCGGGGCGCAGGGGTCCGGCACGGTGGTGAGAAGCGGCCACACGCGGCCTTGGAAGTAGCCGAGAGCGCGCTGTTCGTCGTTGACGAGGGGCCGCTCAATGGTCCGCATAGCGCGGGCGGCGGCAGCTGTGGCAGCGGTGACGGTCATAGTGCCAGTGCCGGGGATCTTGCCAGACGCATCGGCGAGGGCAACGCTGGGTCGGGTGCTCCAGCGGATGAGGCGGGTGTTGTAGTCGCAGGCTGCGCCAGCCGTTGCGCAACGCTGGCAGACGGGCTTGGTGAGATCGCACTTTACGCGGCGTTTCTTGCATGGCCAGCAGGAGCCCTGTACGACCCTGACGCGTTGCGAGGGCATGGTTTTCGGAGAAGGGGGGTTTCGGAGGTGGATGTTTCAACGACGGGCCGACACCCAATTCTGTAAATGGTAGAGGAATATGCGCGTGTCGGCAAACGTCATAACTGAATGCGCTCGAGAGCGGCGAGCAGCCTGTGGCGTGTGATCGGGCGGCGGGAGGAGGGGAGGAGGGGGTCAAGTCGGGGGGTGGATGACAGTAGGTGGTCGTGGTCTCGGTGTGTGGTGGTGATGTTTGGTGATGGTGGTGTTGGAGGGTGATTGCAAAGCGACGATGGAGAGGTGCGGAGCGGAGATGCGGGCAACGGTGCAGTGGGTGGACGGATGGCAGCTGCCGGCCAAGCCGGCCTACCACTGCCGGTGAGGGGACGCTGCAGCCTTGATAGTGCACTAACAGGCACCCACGGAAGGGACTGGGGCAGGACATGATTACCTATCATCCTTACCTGATTGGGCTTAGGGCCTTGACACTTGGTTCGGCACCTCTCGAGTCCCAATGTTACGCTGGGCTCCCCCAAAAGCTTGGTATTGCACTGTCAAGCTGCATCCACCAAATATTGCTCCCAACTTCACCGTTACCTTTACCTTCGACACCATCGACATCCACTGCTCAGCCTGATACTGGACCAAGTCACCAATTACGAATTTTTTCTTCCCACATCTACCTACAGCTTCGATGGCACCGTCATGTTCACATGAACAGCCTTGATGTTCGAGTAGCCCGCCAATCCCGCCTCTCCCAATTCGCGTCCAATACCGCTCTGCTTGACGCCTCCGAAGGGGATCCTCGGGTCCGAATCATTGGAACTGTTGATCCAAACCATACCAGCCTCGATCCGTCTCGCCACGCGATGCGCCCTCGTCAGATCGCGGGTAAACACAGCGCTTCCCAGCCCATACTGCGTATCATTAGCCAACGCCAGCGCCTCCTCCTCCGTCTTGAAGCGGCCAATGACGGCAAACGGCCCAAACACCTCTTCCTGAAAGATGCGCATCTTTGGCGTCACATCCGTGAACACGGTCGGCTGCATGAAGAAGCCCGGCTCGGACGAGTCCCCGTGGAACGGCGCGCCGCCCATCTCGAGCTTCGCACCCTCTGACTTGCCGACGTCGACGTATGACATGATGCGCTCAAACTGCGCCTTTGTTACCTGCGGACCTTGGAAGGTCGTCTCGTCGAAGGGATCGCCAATCTTGGACACGCGCGTCACTTGCTTACGGAAAGCCTCGACGAACCGATCGTAGATGCCGTCTTGCACTAGGATCCGCGATGTGGCCGTGCAGATCTGGCCTTGGTTGGACATGATGCCGATGTGTGCCCATTCGACTGCGTTCTCGAGGTCTGCGTCGTCGAACACGAGCAGCGGGCTCTTGCCGCCGGTTTCCAGGGTGATGTTCTTCAGGTTGCCGCTTGCCATCTTCATGATGTGTCGCGCCGTCGCCGTTGAGCCTGTGAAGGCAATCTTGTCCACGTCCATGTGGCTCGCCAGCGCTGCACCCGCCACGGGACCGGCGCCGTTGACGATATTGATAACGCCCGGCGGGAACCCGGCCTTGACGACGAGCGTCGCGAGGAAGAGGATCGACAGCGGTGTTTGTTCGGCCGGCTTGAGCACGACGGTGTTGCCGCATGCGAGCGCAGGACCCAGCTTCCACGCAGCCATGCTGAGAGGGTAGTTCCACCTGGGGAAGTCAGATGTTGCCGTCGCGAACGACAGGGGAAGCACTCACGGGATGATCTGGCCGCACACGCCCACAGGCTCGCGGATGGTGTAGGCAAATTTGGCCGGCGTCGTGTCGATGACCTGGCCAAACACCTTGTCTGCAAAGCCGGCGTAGTACCTAATAGTAGTCTCCGTCTCGGCAAGATCCTCGTTCACCGCAACCGAGTAAGGCTTTCCATTATCCATGGCTTCAATGGTAGCTAGAGTCTCCTTGTTCTCGCGAATGAGGTCGGCCAGACGGATCATGAGCTCGCCACGTTCTGTGCCGGGCATGTCTCGCCAGCTGGGGTCGTTGAGCGCCTTGCGCGCCGCCTTGACGGCTGCATCGACATCTTTTTCGGTCGCCGCCTGCACCGACGCGATGGGCTTTTCGGTGCTGCAGGTCTGTTGTTAGCATGTGCATAGCAATCGAGATGTGGCTGGGGCGCCCACCTTGGGTTGATGCTGGTGATCACGCCGCCGTCTGAAGAAGCGTGCCACTCATTGTTGATGAAAAGGCCCAGAGGCTGGGTGTAGGTCCTCTTGTTGGGCGCGGTCACCTGGGTGTGAAGTTCTGGGGCCATTTTGAAGACTGATGAAACGCGAGGAATAGATTGCAAGGGGAACACCTGGCGAGCAAGATAGGGAGGGACTTTGGTGGCTACGAAATTACAAGGAAGGCCAGGAG